TTATGCAAATTAGGTCATCATTTGCATAATTAGTATCTGTTGAAGTTCCGCCTGCCATAGGTTACATACATTACATGTATGTAAGTAGTATAATGTAAAACACTGTAATTATAGAATTTCCTCATTAATTATGCAAATAAAGTCCTAATTTCCATAATTTGCATTTAATTATGCACATCTCTCTCTCAGCTACCTACACACCAAAAATAATGAAGACATTCTCATCATTCACCATTACGAAATCATAGAATTTTCGCATTAATTATGCAAATTAGGTCATCATTTGCATAATTAGTATCTGTTGAAGTTCCGCCTGCCATAGGTTACATACATGTAGTAGTATAATGTAAAACACTGTAATTATAGAATTTCCTCATTAATTATGCAAATAAAGTCCTCATTTGCATAATTTGCATTTAATTATGTACATCTCTCTCTCAGCTACCTACACACCAAAAATAATGAAAATATGTTGTTCCTGTCTGGACTTATTGGCTTTTAAACATTTCGCCAGAAAGTGCCCTGCAGTTCCAGAACAAGCCGCTAGGGGGCCCAAACTCATGTGACTTCTTCCCAAGCACGAGAGCTACCTTCCATCAAAATTTTATGACCCTAGCATGTCCAGATCGCGAGATATCAAAACCGGAAGTTGCGCTGCAGTACCAAGGGAAGCCACTAGGGGGACCAAAATCTAATCATTTCCAGTTTTCGTCACACCCTACCAACACACCAAGTATGAAACCAATCCATCCAGGCGTTCTTGAGTTATCTTGTTGACCAACAGACGGACAGAAGGACAGACGGACAGACGGACAGATAAACGCAACTGAAAATATAACCTCCATGACACATTTCATGGAGGTAACAATATGTATGAAAAAGAAAATAATATAATGGTATGAGAGACTATGTCTAACATTACACTACATTCTACAACATACATGGTACTAGTTTTGCTGGGTTTGTCTTCTTCTTTTGAGGCAGTGGAAGACGAATTTACCAGTTTCTCTTATATGTGGGTTCTTTTTTAGTAAAATTGTTTTCTCGTGGTAGGGGATAGTCGGAAAGCAAGGGAGCATTTTGGACACGGTGGTAAATAATTGTTTTCTAAAGATAACACATGTTCGTGTTATCCACGAACATAGATAAGCATTTTCAAAAATAGTTCATTAAGTGTAAAAACTGACACGGTGTAAAAGATAACAACGTGAATTATTTAGATCATACAAGCATAAAGTGATTGTGACTTACAGCTGAGAACATAAAGACCATGCAATAAATAAATAAATAAACGTCAAGACATGACCAACCACAATACTCCTGCCAGTGATCACTGGCATTCCTTAGGGAGTAACAGAATACAACGTTTCGGTGGTTTATCAACTAACTTCAAGTTAGGTCACAAGTTTATGAAAGAAGCTTAGCAGTTTCTGGTAATAAATCTATGGTTGTGTAAGACCAAGAAAACTGTCATCCTTGCAATGGCCTATTAACTATGCTATTCACTGTTCTTATAACTACATGAATGTCTTATTTATTTTTTTCTCCTTCTCCTCAATTTATTTTTTTCTCCTAAGAAGTGGATGTTAGTAGGATGGGCGATCAACGCAGCATTGCTGGGCATACTAGTGGTGTCACCCAGCGTAGTAAGGGCCTTTAACCCTGAAGGCCCCACGTGTATGACCACTTGGAGTACCAGAACGACTGTTGAAAGGCTTATTTGGTCCACTGCCGTCTGCTGGGTGATATATGCGTGTTCCGTTGGATACGGAGGTAACAGTTGTCCAAACATTAAAAAAATCACTCACTTTGCTCGGTGCCATATACTAGTAGGTATGAAAATGATAAAGAATTGAAGTAAGCTATTTTTTGTGTACCTGGGGCACACTGTACATAGTTGCGATGATGTGCACTACATGTTGTACAATGCATTGCGTAAACAATAGGCTCCACACCCGAGGCGTCGTAAAAAATAGAATTAATATATACGTATCTTTCGAAATTACCTATTCGAAGATTGAACAAAAATTATTACCTTATGTCACGGCGTGGCAGACCTCTGTAAAATTCTATTTATGCAAAAAAGATACCTATAGGGTACTATATGATGTTTGCACTCACGTGACCAATAGTCCGCCATATTAGATGGTAAATCCCAGTCGCGGCGTCAAGCATATGCAAATGTATAGGTCTTGGTCTTTCATGTTGTAATGCTGTATAGAACTTTTTCTACCCCGTACGTTTATGTAAATGTTGCATGTTTATGTAAATACGTTTTAATCATGTCTATATTCGAATTTTAAATGCATGTTTATGTAAATATGTTTTAACCATGTGTCAATTTGAATCGTCTTAACGCAGTTCAGCCGTTTGCAATGTTTGTGGCATTGGTATTGAAATAAATAAACCATTCATTATTATTATTATTATTATTATTACTATTATTATTATTACTATTATTATTATTACTATTATTATTCTTATTATTATTATTATTATTATTATTATTATTATTATTATTATTATTATTATTATTATTATTATTATTATTATTATTATTATTATTATTATTATTATTATTATTATTATTATTATTATTATTATTATTATTATTTGTTTGAGCAACCAGCATGGCGGACAATAACGTCATAATCACGCGAATACCAACCAATTATGATTCGTATAACCCCCCTCTTTCTGTATAGGTATCATCTCTGAGTTCCTATCCTGGAAACTCTGGCAACCGTTAAGCCGGCTGTCTTACGTCACGTACCTTATCCACCCGCTGATCCTGTGTGCCTTCTGTGGTCATTACAGCGGCCCAATCTTCTACTCTGGATGTACATGGGTGAGTACATCCGTGAATAATTTCATAACTTAGTAAATTAATGTGAAACAAACTATATGTGACAGTACTTAACGTTACGGATAGCATTCTTAAACCCTACTGCATGAACAAAACAAACAAAAAACAATAAAAACACCGCGAATATTTCAAGATTTACAGTAATTGTTTTGGGTCTGTTAGCAAAAAAAGCGTCCCACAGAAAATTGTAATTTTTGATTGGACAAAGTCAACGTGGTTACGAGTCGAAGCGAATGCAAGACCGTTAAAATTGATATGAAATTGATACCAATCAAGGCGGTTCATGTTATGTCTTTAAAACCAATTTCCGAAATACGTACATTGCAAGATCTAAGATCGTTAATGATAATGTTTTTGTTTATAATTCTTTCTTCATGCTTTATAAATCTGCAAAATGGCAAAGAAAATTAGAGAAAATGATAAGAAAAGGGTCATGGCTTTTCATTTAATGCTGTCTACAAATAGATTACTACTTGTGGCAACCGTAACCTTTGCGATCTCCGGTTGGCTATATTTAAGATATTCTTTTACGTTTGCCCTTCTAACAGTTCATACTCTTCACCGGATTTTCTGTCTGGAGCTTCGCCGGGGCCTTTGTGGTTTCCATCGGGGTGGAGATTCCTTTATCCGAGCTGGAGAAACACATACTACCGAGGCGTCACGGTCGGAAACTCGAGAACTCTTAAAGCGATATGATGTACATGTAATATTTTTAATTACTTTAAACGTAGTTGTTTTCCACATTTTCTTGCGCTATAAGCCTACCTGGGTTCATAATGACATTTGGGGACTAAAATATCAACGTCGTTGCGCGGCAAAAATGTGTTAAATCTGCCGAAGATACCCAGACGAAGACAGCTGTTTGTTAACATTTTTAGGAACCTTCTAAAAATACAGCGGGCCTGGCTCACTTATTCTTCCGCTACAATGAGTCGCCGGAAAAGCGAAGTGGCGACGCTAATATGTTGATGAAAATGACAATATATATGAGAAAACTTCAATTATTTATATTTACACTATTGACACAAAAATCTTACATAATATCGCTTTAAACCATATGGGCCGAAAATTGGCAAAATCACCCGTCGAAGGCTGGCCAGCTCAAACTTTAACGCTAAATATGCAGTTAAAGTTTAATACATGCTTACTCGTTATTATATTACTGCACATATTAGACAAGTTGTAGCAATAAAGAATCACAGGATTCGCTTTTTGCACAATCGACCGTTTTATGATATTTTCTTTTTGTACTCAGTAGTCAATCAAATAACCAGGAATTACCAATATTGTATTACATGGATGCTAAATTATTATTATACATGTACTAGTATAGAGCTTCAATGTATAAACAATGTAGGTGGACGGGAACAGGTAACTGCATGTTACATAGGGGATATCATATAAAACGAATAGACTTATTCTAAACACCTTATTAACAGGAATTAGCTTTAGTTTTATATGTGCTTATTTTGTTTATTGTCACTTTACTTGTAAAGATGAATATATTTTGTTGTTTTGCTTTACCAACAACCTTACATGACAATCTACCAATCATCTATTTACTTATGTACCATACATATAAATGAATAAACCTTTTCCGAGTCTAACAGATTTTGTTCCATATTAATACATGAAGAAACAATGTTGTAAATGTTTGCTTGGGATACCACAATTAAAACCTCAAAATATACTAAAGAAAGACTCAATCAAAATTAGAAAGGAAAGTATGGACAAAGTCTTAACTGGAGTTACAGCTCAAGTAAAACAATACTTGAATAGCACAACATTGATTATCTTTCTAAATTCCATTGTACAGATAGGAGTCGTTGAAATAATACGCGCTGTCTTTGACACCAGGACATATCTTCACATGCCAAGACTTACTTATACTGCGTTAGCGCTGAGCAGTAATCAGCCAATCAGGTTCCCCCACTCCTGTTGTTGAACGGAAGGTTTCCCCAGCCAACCCCGTTGCTTCTTGACCACAGGCGATGCTGTGATTGGTTGGAGAAAGATGGCCAAAGCTAATCGTAACGAGGAGGGTGGTAGGCCGCTAGCCACGCCATGGACGTTGCTTGATACATACAGATACAAGCGGCTGCCTTGGTATGAGAAGATTCCGGAAGATGGCTTGGTAGTTCTATGCAGATATCAGGCTAGTCTCTTCTTGTGGTTCTTCGGGCGTAACGACGCGGTTGGCGGGCTTTTCCCTCTCCCACCCGCGCCGGATCCTGTCCACACGCGAGCTTACACAGGGTAGCAAGGTCACGACCTTCATCAGAATCAAGATGGCGGGCAGGATCAGCGTCAGCTGGAAAAGAGCTATGGTGTAGGACGAGAAGAGGGCCGGCAGGGTGAAGACTTCTGCGCCGTACACCGCGTTGTGGACGATGGCGAAGAGGAGGACCAGCCATCCTAGTTTGGACTGCACAAAGTTGAACTCGCGCCAGTTCATGGCGTTTGTGATAGAGGGAATAGACGACACACCAAGGACGGTCATGAGAAAGAGTGAGAGGGTGCCGAAGAGTAAGAACGTTTCCCCGCTCCATCGGAGCTTGCCGTATTCCACTTCTCCGCTAGGCGTCACAGTGTTCTCAAACAGTCGAGCGTAGTATGAAGGGCTCCAAATCATGAGGGAAAGAACAGCGTGAACAACCGAGGCCAGCAGAGACAGGAGCCCAAGTTGTTTACGGGCCAACATCCATTTGTCGAGCCCACCGGGGAAACGCTTGTACTTCGTGCCATTGTATAGCTGCGCGAAAACAGCGAAGATGCCAGGAATGTATACTAGACACAGCATGGTGATTGCTGTCCCAGCAAAAGTCATGTTCATGACGCTTACGGGAATGTGAGAGGCTTGGTTCGTTCCTTGTAAGGCCCTGAAGATGACTATTCTGTACAGACAGTACAGGAAGAAGATGACGAAGACGCACGAGAACATCTTCAGCGCCAGGTGCCAGGAGGGCAGGAGGCGGAGAGGTATAGCCTCGATCTCACGCGCAGCCCTCAGACTCCCATAATCCACCGGGGCGAACCCAAGATCCTGCGCCAGGTGCATGACGGTCTTGCGAGCGTTGTCGTCATCGCTACTGATGAAGACCTTCAGCACGAATGGCAAAACATAGAAAGGTAAACATTAAGAGTCGTCATTGTAGATATTCTGACACCCCACATATCTTTGTATTGATGATATACGTTTATAAATAAGATTGTGGGAAAAGGACTTTCAGTTTTAGTCTAAGGCCACAGCAAGTAAATTTTATGGCTGGCATCCTCCGCAGACTCAAAATCCAATGCGATAGGACGAAAAAAGACAATGCGGGCCAAAAAACAGGATTCCTTTTGACATCATAAACATCTTACCATAAGCTTACGACAGCAAATTGAGCCCATCTTTGGGACACGCGTATTGAATACTGTAGCCTGGGTTCCAGACCCATAGCACACTGGACACAAATATCTCTTGCACACTGAGATATTTTGTGTCCAGTGTGCTTTGGGTCTGGCATCCAGGCTATGAATACTGTAGATTAAACTTTTGTGACGGAAAGGTAGTAGATCTTTGTCACGGCCTATATGACAGCGGCCTATATAGAAGTTTTTAAAACACAATATAGATAATTATGAAAAGATGATCTGACATTATTAGGCGTAGGAAAATAATGTTGTGTTTCCTGTTTTAGTCCTGAAAAAATTAGAGTCGGTAGGTAGGGATTATCTTTTTTTCTTTTTAGACTTCGGTGATATCAATATAGCGATCCAACTTATACAATACAGTCTAACAACGAAAAACTTGCATGAGGACACTTATTTTTCAATGTCAATGTTAGAAAACTAATTGTACAACGTTTTATCACTCATCTGTCAGATCATGGTGTTAGAAAAGGTCGATCAAGTCGAAAAATTTATGTCCCATGCAGGGGTCCACACAAAAAAGGCTGGGGTTGGCAGGTTTTTCTAGGGTCTGTCGGGAAACAGGAAACACAACATTTTTTTGACAGGCCTTACCTCTTTCGAGCCTCCTACCAGCCCAGAACTGAGCGACCAGGCGGACAACACGTTGAACCCTTTCACCACAGTCGAGTCGGGGAACAAACTGGCCAGGTATTCGGCGTTAGACTCGGCTTCATGGAGCTTTGAACGACAAAAAAATACGGGGTGAGCTCCTTTATACTTTTGTTGAACGAAAGTTTCAAAAGTAATCTTAGAATGTACCAACACAAATTAATTAGGTCATGGCAAACTAGCACTGATACAGCAACAGTGATTTTACGTAGAATTTTACACACCGATAGAAATTGAATAATTATAAAGGATCATTTTCTAATATTTCTTAAAAAATAATGATATAATACATACACAACATAACCAAAAACGTACATAGGGTAAAGAGAGAAAGAAAAAGAAATCCTATATCAGATAGTAAATTGACCTGTCATTTTAACATGAGCAGAGTAAAGGATAGATTAAGCAGCATGGCTTATCGCACCTTGCCATTTGGATGGAAGTCATGTGCCTTTATCTATAATACAACAGGAGAACTTTTTGTCTCATGCGAGACACTTATGGTTCCCCACAATGTTGTCTGTTGATGACAGACGGTGAGGCCTCCCCATTGCCCCGCCCGCGCCTCCAGCCCCATATGATAAAGATAAAAGATTCTTCATTGACACCACAAAAAGTACAGGGACGTTTGTACGGTCTTCTACAACTAAAGATCTAACAAAGTTAAATATATGTATGGATAGCTTCATCCTACGTACAGAATATATGTATGTGGCAAATTACGTACAGAATATTTATCAGTGATAACAATAAAGGTGTTCAGGCGCGTCATGTGCGTCCTATTAACGAGGGAAGGGTATTTCGTTAGTCTGGAAAAATGAATTATCATCCCAGTGCAAAGATTCAAGAATTGACAAGCTGGACGCAACCTTCTTTTTTCTTCCCCAAGGACAAAGAAGGGAAGTTTATATGCCTCAGGTGCTGTCGCGCCAATGATAACCAGGAGCTGACCTGTGTGTTGTTGCTGACGTCGATGAGTATCTTGCCGGCCAGCGCCTCCCTGTCCGCCTGCAGGGCGGGGTAGTTCTCCCGGTGGACGGCCACGAACACCAGCCGGTCTCCGGCCAGGGCTGCCTGCCGGGTCGTCACATCTACACCCTGTATGGTAAAATCAAATTAAAACTAGAAAGGTAAAATCTGCAAAGCAAGTGCATAATGTTCACCCTCGCATATGGTTTTATTTAAACACATTCATATATATGGTCAGACAGGAGCCTGAATATATTTTCCTCCTGCTATAAAATTGCTACATGATGTAACCCAACACCAGTTACCATGGTGAGATACGTCTGGTTAAGGTCATTGACCTTATTGGTTTGGAGAAGAAGAAGAAACATAGCAAAAACAATATGTTTTCCTTCGATAAACTTTAAAAAGTCCGGAGATCTCAAAACGCTGCTAGGGGACCAAAACATGTGCCAAGACCAAGAACTATCTGCCATACAAAACACATGACCATGAGTCCAGAACAACAAAAAATACATAACTACTAGTAAAACAAATCCTTAACAAATTCTTAAGGGGACACATTCATCTACGGGTGGAATTTCTATGATACTTTCAAACTAGGTCTAATATAAAATGGCTCTAACCCTGACGCGTAGCCAAAAAATGACATCATTTTTGTTTGGATGTTTGGCTTAGCTGCAAAGTGTAGATACAAGAATTAGAGAACAGTCAAGTTGGGTTCATTCTGTATCTTCCACAACATTTGTGGTCCAAGTCACCCATGCCACCATTCCGTTGGTTTTCTGATCTATGAGGATCTGCATTGATATTTGAGTGACGATTTTTAGTATGAATAAATTTTGTTTTTGGTGGTAGATTGATTAGCACGCTATCTTTGGTAACTTCCCATGCAGCGTGTGGTGATATAGGTTGGGTGAGGGCCAATGTCGTTGAGGGATCCAGACACGCTACAAAAGCCGGATATGTATTATGTTGAAGGGGAGTTCCCCTGTTGTTCACCAACTCTCTCGGGGGCTGATGGCCATGGAGTTGGCATGCGGCGCGGTCACCAGTCCTTATAGCTTTGCATGGAAGCGATCGAGAGAGCCGATATACTATCCTGGGCACCATTCGGATTTTGGCTCCGGAACGCTCGAAAATGGCCCCGCGCAACGCCCGAAAAGATCCAAAATCCGGATGGTGCGTGGTGCTTACACAAGCAGTCGTACGTTTTTGGTGCCGTAAAAAATGTCAAGCAGTCTGTGTCACAACTAGCAACCGACAAAACTAAAAGAACCAATTTGTTCCGTAACAAAGCAGCTATCTGTATTCCGCACTAGTTACTTGAGCACGACTGTCCCAAAATACGGTTTGTCCTGGACCATTGGGCAAAATGCCAGAGCTGAATAGAACGGAAAACTAGGCAGGGGACTAATCTTGGGGGGGAATTCGTTGTATTTCGGTCATGGTTCACACGAGTAAATCCTATGGGTGAGCAAAGTGTTTTTTTCACGCATACACTCATTCTAATCACAATTCCGATGTGTCAAACTTGGAGGAAAGAGAGATTTAGAAACAAGAAATCTTTCGCCAGGGCTTGGTCGCATTGATCGTACGATCGAAAACGGGAACGGTTTTTAGGATCGTCGTGCATGCATGTGTCGTACAAAATTCAACTGGATTTTTTTTTAGCGAACATGCTTTCTCTACGGATGGTTCTATCACAGCCTGCTTCAAGATTCTTTCGTATAAAAATCTTACAAAAACCTACGAACGGAGAATGCCTCGCCAAATACTTGCGATTCGGCGCCTATATTACCTAAACAATGTCTAGGTGCATCAGACTGTGTTATATACTTTACCTTCTCCCTGACGAATGCAAATTTGGTACAATACAGCTAGCTTAGCAGCCTGAAGGTAAACCTGGTATCCAGTCTATCGTGGTTGGCTGAGTTTTCTTGGGGGCTGTAGGAGCTCTTCTCCGTCCGCCTGAGCTAGGTTCCCACGGTAGGTTTTTCACGACAAGAGTCTGATTGGGCCCATCAAATCAACTCCTGGGCGTGCCATCTCTATCCTCTATTAGCGTAACACTCCTACCGGGCGGCCTGTTGTACTATGAGAGCCCCGAAGACACAGCCTGCCCCAACTACTATGCCCAAACCATGATGATAGACTGGATACCCGGTTACCTGAAGGTTAAACTGGTGAAGATATATGTTGACAATCATACCTGAGTGAAAAATCGGGCGTTGCGGTCAGGTTTGCGGCTTCCCACAGCCACGGGGAAGCCCGACCGCACCAGGCGACCGGCCAGCGACCTGCTGTAGTCTCCGCTGCCTAGGATGGCGACAGTCGGCCTCCCGGGCTCCCCACCATCCCTGTCCGCCTCAACAGACACCGTAGACATCTGTACACAGTTGTCAAACGTCTGGTAGTTTGCAGCCATCGCTAAAGTAGAATTTTCTCCACAGAAACCGAACAGATGACAGTCTTCTAACGAACGGTTACTCCCTGAAGTTTGTAGTTTCGGTTACGTCATCATCTTAAGTCCTACTTCTCACGGAAGGGTTTAACGAGGCTGTTTACTTCCTTGTGGATGTTGAGTTCACGGAAGTGTAAACGTCATTCGATTCTTGACTAAAAGTGGGTCAGTCTGGCAAAAGTGGGTCGGGGTCATGTCGGCTGTCAATCAAAATTAGCAACGCGGCCAATAAGAGAGCGGAGTAAAGTCACGTGATCATTTGTGGGCGTGCCCGCTATTCTCGCAGTCAAAATCCTGCCGTGACATTTTCCCGTGCAGACACAAGTACATAAAGCAGGCTGAACAGATGTTTCCTGTTACTTGTATCCTGATATACATGATAATAGATAGTGGCAGACGAGAACTTGTTTTTGGTGGCAACGATAAAACTATCGGTAGATTTACTAGGGTAAAACGTCGTTTTTTTCCGGATACGGAAGTATTGCTTGGATGGATAAGCTGTGGACCTGTGAATTTATTTTTGCAGACCAAATAGGTTGACAGCACGGGGGTGGGTGAGATTGACAGGCAGAATAACAGGACAAGAGGTCAAAGATGTTGGCATCTGGCTGAAAGCCAGCTGGTAATAGAGGTGGGCATGGAGGAATTCAGGAAGCCGAGAATAGCATACTTCGTGGCAGTCTAAAATCTCTGTTCTCTTGTTGTATTATAAAAAAACTATACAATATTCCAAACATGAATAATAAAATTTATCATTTTACGACCCATACTAAATGTTGGAAATTTGTGCTTTAATGGACTTTGATATTTGAGACATGTGCAGGTTAGTTATGCATAAATATCACTATTCATAGATTACGTAAATCTGGAGATGATTTGATTACTTGTTGTTGTATTGTGCTTGTCTGTTGAACAGAGAAACTACTACAGGACAAATGGTCTAGTTACAATGGATATTTTGACTGATATGATGTATATTAAATTTTTAACAATAATATTTACATTGTACAATGTTATGTGCATATTGATCAACAGGGTTCCTTTATCAATTTATCATTTTGTTTATGTTAATTTCTATCATGTTTTGTTACATTTCAATGTGAAGTCTTTTTGGCCCATGATCTTGTATTGGTGTATTAGTGCATATTAGTGCATATTGTGTTGTTAAGTAATTTATGATACTACTAGTCTGAAAAGTGAAATCATTTCTCGACAAAGGAGCTCTTTAGTTCGCTTTGCTAATCATTAGTACGGTATGTTTGTTTTTCTTTGTGAATACTGTAATTCATGATAAAGTTTGTGCAGCCACGTGATGGTAAGCACAGACCGGATGTGGTGAGGCCATTTGCTGCATTTGCTCCCGAGAAAATGTCGGCCTTTCTAGTATTGTAATGATTCTTTACACCCGTGTCAATAACACACTCCCCACTTTACGGCGAGATGACATGCCTGCAAAACTTGTTTAAACCTGGAAGCAAGGAGAGTCTTACATACCCCATTGACGGCTCAAAATGACTTAATCGTTTTTCCAACGATCGTGTTTTATGGGGTTTTGAAGAATGCCTTCGATTTTGAATTATGGGTAATTGAGTGCAAAAAAAAACATTCAATTTTGTTCACCTATGTTTTATTTGTCCACAAGAATTATATTTAAAGTCCCTAAAACATGATTTTTAAATCTTATTTCTAGTCGTCGAAAAAAGTAACAATCAGGAATTTTGGGTAATATGTGTAGCCAAACCTCATCGATGTTTGGCTTTAATATGGCGCTCCGAAATCCCGAAAATAATCGTCTTTACGAGCGAAATCTAAACCATTACCCATTTTACGAAAAAAAGGTAATATTTAATGTATGTGAAGACGATAATTTTACTTTATTTCAACGAAATCTTTCCTTCCATACTATTCCGAATGCGCCTAGCAATGGGAAAGAAAACCGCAGCAACAGACCGCCGTACGCGTGTTTCTTTGTTCGACTGTATGACATCTGTGTATACCGTGCAAACTTGTGTTTACTTGTAATTGTAAGGCCCTAGGCATGCATATAACGGCGAAGAGCGAACAAAAGCTAGCTTAAATTGTCCGTAAGGCGACATTAGGCCATGTTGATTTGATTACATGGGTGACATCCGCGCGTATGAATTTTCAGCCGTTTCCGAAAAAAAAAAGGTTTTAACCATACTACCGTAAATCGTACAAAACAGGTGCAAAATGAGCAAATATATACCAAAAGTTGCACAAAAAAATATTGGAAAATGATACCGATGTCGTGGAATGCCGACAGCAAACGAAAAAGACGAAAATGTAAAGAAATGAAATTGATGAGTAGATTATTCGCCATACCATACCCTGTGTCTTTTGTTCAACCTTCATGACCACGTAGATTTCATCATGAAAGCCCCTTTTTTGCCTTTGGCATCAGTTCCCAGAGGATGTCATCCATATAATCAAATCAACATGGCGTTAATATATAGTAATGGCACCTATTGACATAATTTAGGCAGCGCTTCTATTTTCACACAATAACTACATAGCCCACGCTGATAATTTTTTATTTGTTTTAATGAAACAGTGCACACTCTTCTGTTCTTGTTTCAGATTTTTTTCAATTTGACGACCTCCATTTTGAATGAAGACTATGTGTTCCGACCGTTAACTACCCGGCATTTCCGCACGGCCATGGGCATGGGATATGCCTCCGGCCACCATATCATGAATAATACATAAGGATGAACGGACCCTCGCTATCACTGACCGTCGAAATGACATGCCACGCAGTTGACATGCATACATCCTGTTGTGGTCGACCTGTTGCTCATCCAAGAAACCTGCGCATCGCTCTGTCAATGTGTCATCGTTGCTTAGTCATTAATTCTGAGAATTCGTGGTTCTGGCATAAATTTGCCCTGAACTGTTCACCTGATTGGTGATCTTTAGGCATGACGGTTCCTAGTATCGTACACTGACGGACTTCCGCCCAACTACAAGTCACCTGTGTTTGAACCGTGTGCGAAATAGGTACGCAGTATTGTTCTCCCCATTTTCTAGAGAGTCTCAAGCTGACGTACTGAACATCTCGAACATCTCGGTACAAGTAACACAGGTAAGACTCCTAAGTTCTTGTTAACATTAGACCACTGTTTCATAGAGACTGCCTGAGACCGAGTTGGTGCGAAGTCGGGCTTGCTGCAATTTGTATCCTACTGTTACAATGGGGCGGCCTCAATGGGGCGCTTGTGTGATGACGTGTAGTTCTCACAGACCCTTTTTACGCATGTAGAACTGTTTTACACGAAAATCGGGCCGTACTTCGTAGAGAGCTAGCCTCCTTCGCAGTCTTGTTGGGCGTGGGCGTAATTTTTGTGCGCGACGCGAGTAATATGCCGCCGCGAGGGACGATTTGCTGCCGAGGGACTTTTGCCACGGAGAGAAGG